ATAAAACTTATAGGTATACCTACTTTATAAGTTTAATAAAGTTTCTTTTGGCATAGGAATTTTCTTCCAAGTTAGGACTCCTTTATCTTTATGTCCTAGGCGAATTAACAACGGCGGTTCCGGTACTACAGGGTTGGGATTATTTAAAAATATATTGGGGTCAATGGAAAATTCCATTTAGTTTGGATTACTTAGCTATAGCACTTCAAAATGTTCACTTATAGCACAATATTTGTTAACTGTTGTTATATCAATAGCACACAACGCGGTCTTTACGTTTTCGTTGATTTTGGCATTCTGGTGGACAATATAGTCGCGAATATATATCGTAAAACGTCGGTATAAGCGATCGTAGCCGATTGCAAGTAAGTCACTAATATTTAAAGGAATTTACCTAAATTAGTTCAATAATTTGCCATAATAATTTAGAAGAATTACCTAAATTAAAAGCAAAATTGTCGTACCTAAAAGTCATTGAGATTTTGACTAAATATTTAGGTAATCTGCCTATCTTTTTAAATTTGAGAAGTTTATTAAGTAAAGTATGAATATTTATCTAGAAGTTAGTGAATACACCATAGAACAAAGGCATTAGTTTCTGCCTAATAAACGAGAAGGTAAATTGCTTTACTCATTTAAGCATATTACCTTATTTTTTTCTTAACTAATTCTGATTAGGTATTTCAAAAGGCTTGATTTTGAACAGTGTATAAGGCGCTTGGCAGCGTATTTCGGCTGTGCTTACACACTACGGCTATCCCGCACAGATAAGGTGTAAGAAGACCGAAACAGGCTGTCTGTCGGTGCTTGTTTATGTAGAGGCTTGAAACAAAAGCACGTTGAGGAGATACTTGACAGTAGGGTGGAGTGAAAAGGTCGAAACAATTTTTTTTTTCGTATTTCTTCTTTCATTTAATATTTATTGTTGACCACATATAAGTACATTAACTATGCAAACATTTTTAACTCTAGGACTTTATCTTCAGGTGGCGCACGCAGCAAGAAAAAAAACAAATTCTGTTTTAGGCGCGGATTTTTATCAATATACAGTAATTAACTATTATTTGTTGGCCAGAAATGATTTGCCCAAATTAAATGGTGGGAAAAACCCTGCTAACAAAGATGTGTGTGAAATTATTTCCTGTGCCATCGAGAAAATATGGAATATATTTTCGATTCCTATTGTTAGCCATCAACAAGTTGTGGCGAGGTTGATTTTATGATAATGTAAAATATAAGTTCTGCGAGGAGTCCAAAAAACTATTTCATATTGCTTCTTGTAAATACGATTAAAAAAATTCGTGCAAATGTGCTGTTAAAATTCCTATAACCGAAAACCACTTTTAAAAGAGGAACGTAAAATGTATTTTGGCTTTGTCGATTACTTGGCTACGAAGTCTCTATTGCGCAAAATAGATAGAAAAAGAAAGTATGAAAAATTCCTGAAAATTTTTACCGATATTACAAGTACTTCTTCTTTGGTTGTGCATTCACAACTGAATAAGAAGTACTCCTGCAAGATGTGGAGAGTTCTTCTTCAAAATCATCTAACTCAGACCTATCTGAAATGACACCAAGAAGATTGAAGGAAAAGGAAGCAAAGCAAATGCGGAGTAGGTTACTAAATTTAGCATCCGCTTGTGATAGAACTGTGGTTTCTGATCGATCGGCTGCATTTATAGTAAACGCTGCAATATTGAATTTAAATATAATTAGCAAAGAAGATGTATCTAGAGTAACAGATCGAATTAAATAACGCCGGGGGCGCCAAAAAGTGGAAAAAACCCTAAACTCCGCTTTAATTTAATGGCCACAAAGACAAGACGATAACTGTTATTAAAATTGGAAGAACACATTTTCTTAATATCAGAGCCAGGGTCTGAGTACATTAGCCATCTCGCAGTTAACAATTTAGAATCACATAATTTAATATTTTTACACATTGCGAATATCTCTGGTTGCAATAGGATGTCATGGTTTTAATGGAAAGACATCTTGGTCGAGTGGTTTGGGTGTTTACTACATGCAAACAAATTAACACTTTGATATCTCTTCATATACCTCGATGGTACAACAACAGGGCCGAAAAGTTATTGGTAAAGACCTGTAAAACTGAACTATGAAGTAATCGACGTAAAATTGCCTGATATTGATGCTAGTTGATGGATCAAAAATATTTGTATCAAATTTTCTCAGCGATATCTTAAGGTACAATTCCCACTTTCTTAGCTAATAAAGATCTAGGAAAGCTAGCACATTTCCGATGGCTGACGTGTGCTAATAGGATTCTTCGTTTATAATATAAACGAAGAATCCTATTAGCACACCTCAGCCATCGGAAATGTGCTAGCTTTATATTATGAGGAAACAGCAAACCTAAAAGGATTGGCTACTTTTATCATAAAAGTGTATGCCCCAACGTGGAAGGACAGGGGACTTTTATAAAACCAGCAAAGTCCACATTTTTAGAAATTAAAATATACGCTATAAAATTATTTCCTTAAAAATCATATTAATATGGGCAATAAAAAATGATGTTTTATCTGGATATTTGGTATTTTTATGAACTTTTTAATAAATGTGATGGAATTAGCTATTAAAAATGTTTGGACTACAGACCATCTGTGGTCTGTGGTTTGGACTGCTGTGTTTGATATTAGACCCCTGATATGTATGTGTCAGATTGGTGAGGTTAAAACCTCTTGACAGTTGCCAGATGTGATGTCAAATGTCAAATTAAATTGGCTTTAATATCTGAAAAACATTACTTTGTGTTTGTCGTAAAAGCATTGTGTTTCATTTTTCAAGATCGCGCTAATGCACACACGGCCTGACGGCTTCCTGGGCAACTTAAAGTCGCTTTTCAACATTTGGTAAACATATAACCATTACAATTTTGGATTAGGATTTCTTAAACTAAAGCCTAAAAATTATTTATAGTAAGTATTATATTTAAATAATAAATTAGGTATAGGTAGTCTAGTTTGCATATAAAACATTTTACATAGCTAACCGAATTAAAAGTTTTCCCTTTAAATTCAATAATTGTAACCCCTTCTAACTTAAAAATAATAGTGGCACGGAACAGAACACAGTTGTATAATATTTAATTTATAACATAATTTTGAGAAATGCTTTCTGAATAGTAAATACTCCTTATAACTGTTCTACCGAAACAGAATTTGTAATAAACGTGTTTGATAATTTTCAGTACAATAATTAAAAACTTTGCTATTTTTATTTAGCTAATGAACTTAAACTGTTTCTCTATTGTCAAATAGAAAAATAAAATATTTTTTTTATTTATATAATTATAAAAATGAAGCTATAATAAGTTTTATATTTTATCGTTAAAAATACTAATAATCAAACAAAATTTAATTAAAATTTAATTAAAATTTAATTTAATGTACTATAAATATCTCTTTCTACTTATTAAAAAACTATCAATGTGAAATTTTTAAGGCAAATGCATGCCGAAGGCTTCTAAAGGAATCTGATTTCATCCTTGATTTTAAGGTCATTCTTGAAAAAGTTAGCCTTTTACAAATTGTTCAAATATTTTCTGCAGTGAAGGCGATAAACAAAGTAGTTAAAGATTGATTTTAAAGTGGCGTTGGTCCGGAACTCAAGAAGTACATTTTCCATTTATAAAAACCTTAAAAGCTACCGGAATTCCGAAAACTTTAAAAATCCACATCGCTCTTAATCATCTTGAAGAATGCCTGAGCTATCTTAACCATCAATGCCTTGGATTATGGTTATGACCGAGATAGAGTGATTTTTATTAAAATCAGCTGTAGAGTTTTCTTCCACACATTTGTTATTATTTTATTCAATTAAACGATACTAAAACCATTGATTAATAACTGAATAATAATTGATTAAAAACTACTCCTTCACTCAACGCTAAAACCCTATTTTGATTTCATATTTATCAAATGTATGCATTAACATGTTAAGATCATGAGCATTAATAAAAACAAATTATAACGAGAAAAATATTCACATATAATATAATTAATATTAATATATAAAATAAATTAGGTGATTTATATGAGTTTCCACTATCTCCAATCCACTTTGATTTAACCGAACCTAGTTTTTGTGATGTGAAATAGCCCACAATAAGCACTCATAAGCATTTTATTAACATTTTTGAAATATACATTTTTTTGCTAAGGGACACTGTGTACTCCCACCTTTAAAACGCTCATTATTGTACATGTTTCCTTGACATTAAGTGATGTGCTGTGACTTTATGGTGATTTATTTACGGGCTGAAGTAAGCATCAGTAGCTTTTGGGCTTTTGGTCACGGGCTGAAGTTGGCTTTATTTTAAATTCGGAAAAACTAAGGGTAACCTAAATCCGTTGACAGTTGTCTGACATTAAATGTTTAACAAATAAAATTGGCTTTAAGTTCTTTGTGTTCGTCGTAGATAAAGTATAGCATGCAACTCGTTTTATAAACTTCTCTAGACACTAGTTTTAATTAAACACTGGCTCGCAAGCTTCGCTCGTTCCTACTAAAACTCGTAACTAAAATGGCTTTTATAAAACTAGATAAATAAAACACTAACTCTAACTACTCTGAGATAGTCCGCTTTATGATCGAAATAAATGGAAATAACATAAAAACTTATTTTCCTCTTTGAAACCCTATTGGTCGTTAAAGAGTATACCAACAATTATAAAAATAACAATTTGTTGTAGGGAATAAAAGGGTTTACCAAAAAGCTATGATGCATACAATTCGTAAAGCGTTCATATATTAATTAACGTTAAAAATTTAATTTTTTTCACAATGTTGGGATAAGATTTAACCAAAAATCATATAGATTATACTTGGCACTTAAAGAGCTAATAGTTTGTGGCAATTTTAAAATAGCGAATGCCCCGAGGTGAAATATAAAATTATGTTAAAAATAACTTTTTGTGTTTAATTATAATAATGTAATAAAAATGTAAGAAAAAAGGTAAAATAAAATAATGACTTACCTTTCTCGTCATAACTACCAACGTTATATTGGGCGCGTGATTCTCATAGAAAGCATTTGGGTCGGTGATATTGATGCCGCCGTCCGGCGTCCACTGTCCTACTTTCCTTATTTCCTCCTTCTTCAGTTTCAGCAAATCCAATTTGAAATTTGATCTCTTCCCCTCATTAAATTCTATATTTCCAGTCAAGCCCCGAAGATCCTTCTGAAAATAAGCGAATTGTATGTGCCACCCGTTTATATGAATATTTTATTACTGCGGTTATTGAAGGCAATATTTTTTATGGCTTTTGTCAATGTATTGACATATAAGTTTATTAAATAAATTTTATGAATGGCGTATAATATTTTAACATTATTTACAAGAAAAACTAAAAGAATTTATTAAAAAATGTGAGAATAAATACATTTTATAACACATTAATTTAAAACCAAACATAAAAATTTACTTCAAATCTAAAATTAATAACATTTTGAGTTTGTGTAGTGGATGGCAACAGAATAATTCACCTAGCTTTGCTAGTATTTTGAGCTTTGGGGGTAAGTTTAATTACATTGTGGGAAAAAATTTGATGAAAAATAAATAGTTGCACAGCAACACAAAAAATATATTACAAAAAAAATGAATACAAGTTTTGGGAACCAAGAAATTGAATAGTTTCACCATACTTGAAGAAGGATTTCCAGTCAACCCAATCAATTTGTGTCAAAAATACATGACTTTGAGACCAAAGAATACTAGTTCAAGCCGCTTTTTTGTTTGTTTACAAAAATGGGAGGTGTACCAGCCAGTGTGTGGGAATAAATACGTTGTCGAAGATACCTTCAAGAATTGCAATGTTTTTGAAATTTGAGGAACCAGCGCTCTACACCGGTCACTGCCTGAGAAGGTCTTCGGCGACTCTTTTGGCCAATGCAGGGGCTAACATGACTACTTTGAAGCGTCACGGAGGATGGAAGTCCTCGTCGGTAGCAGAAGGATACCTAGAAGAATCGGTGCATAACAAAATACAAATTGCAGAAAAAATACAAGGTTCTAATTCTTTGGCGTCTTCCAGCACTATCAGCAGCTGTACCGATATGCGAGCGTCTGGTTCCAATGAACCAACAAATTCGAATAAACCGTTAGCGTTTTCCTTTAATTTCAATATCAATGTGAATTCTGCTTGTAATAGTAATAAATAAATAGAATACTACTTTAAACATGAATATTAAATATGATGTGTATTATTTGATAGTTTACTTGTCTAAAATGACATTAATATTGACAGTCATAACTGTCAAGTGTTGTATAAACCATTTAAACTGTAAATCTACGGTGAAATGTAGAACCTGTCAACACTAGTTTTAAGTGTTGCCTTTTAATTTTTTTATTTCATCACTTGAACTTTGAGTGTGGAAGTAACGACATTAACTACATTTATATAAAAGTTTAAAAATTATATAAAAGTTAACTAGTTATATACAATTACCATAAGCAATATAAGAGGTCTCAGGGTTGATACGTTTCTTTCGCCATGATTGTTTTTTGATTGCCATTAAAATGCTATGAAGCTCTTAGTAGCACTGAAAGCAATGCTTTTATAAGCATCGAAACAGGCGAAATTATTTTAAATAAAATAGTATATTCTGTAAGAAGTTTGGAATACGGCATATTCCGCTCAAGTGATAGGATTGTCACACAAGCCGAAGGCGAGTTTAACGTTATCACGAGAGCGGAGTACCTATGCAATTCCAAATGTGTTTTAGACTATACTTTTTTTACGTTTCCAAAAAACATCATAATAATTTAATTGGAAGAAAGTGACGTTGGATCGGTCTAAAAGTTATTGGCGCCACCAGTCTTTCCCTCATCCGATCATAGAATATTGCATTCTGTAACACTTTAAGGAATATATGTAATTCTACATTAAAAAGTAATGTTAGAACGGTTATATTCCGTAATTGGAGTAGAAAAACATGTTCTGGTGATACTGTCATTTTGCCTTCTTTTTTAAGCCATAAATAATATTAAAAAAAACGCCAGAATTGCACCTTGACATTCAAATTTAAACAAATTCCTTACAACTCTACTGACTTTTGGCAATAATTTTACGCAATTTCAACAGTAACTACGCAAAGTTTTAGAGCTGCACTCAATAATTTTATTTTGATTCAAAATTAACGCATTTTACTGTCACGGGAGCGACTTCTGGTTTTTAGATAAAAGTTTCCGGTATCATTTTTTAATTTGGTAGTTAATTTTTAAAATATAATATTATAATTACAAATATTACTCCTCAAACAAATAAAATTATCTATGTAATAAATTCGTTGGGGTTTCGTGTAAGCAGAAAATAATCGTTGCCAAACTGAAATCTTGCATGTTATGATCCAGATAAATGCATTTTCAAATGGAATAATACATGCCATTTGCAAGAAACTCTCAACCAACATGTAAATACTTAACATGCAAAAGGGGACGTGAAAAGTTTTTAAAATGTTTTCCCAATTTTCATTCTACATGCTTGGTAGAATAAAATACAGTGGCGTATAAATGCCTGAACCACTTTTAAATCGAAAGTCGAACACCTATTTATTTTTGGTTTAGTATGTTTTATGGGTCTTAACTAAAAAATACAAAAATTTAAATGGTCCTTAGAGCTGTTAAAAAAAATAACACAAAAGGTAAAAAATTAGGTAAAATATTAGAACGTTAGTTTATTTTGAGTTTTGTTTGAAATATTTCAAGGCATTATTACTTTGGTTGTCACCTGTACGACTTCCTATTCTAGATGGGCTATTATCAGTACTTTGCTGCAATTGCCAAATTACGATGGCTTTAATGAAGATCTAATTAAAACTCGATTAACAGATAATTCAAAACCTTGTTTATGTAAATTATGCGAGCTGGCTGGAAGCACCTCTAGCTGAAACCTTGGTAAAAACTATCGTACACGTAAAGAAGAAGCAGGTATTTTAAAAAGTCATTTTTAATCTTGTTGTGCTACCTACGCAATGGCAGAGAATTATACTTCTACTACTGCTGTGAGAAATATAGAGAATCAAATAAATCAGTATTTCACCGAACAACAAAATGAACAGCTGCTTCCAAACTAATAAAGTCTACAGTAACAACGAATAATAAATTCTTATGCCAAATTTACGGAAAACCATTACACAATTCAATTCAATTTGTTCTAATTTTACTAATGGCATTGCAAATTCTCTAAAAATAGTGACCAAAGAAATAAACTTGTTAGAATTAAATTTAAAAGAAAGATTAGTTTGTGAAAACCAGTAAGTATATAACATGTTTGACGGTAAGACTATCGATTTTTCCAAATGTTGTTCCGGAAATACTGGTTTACTGAAACAACATAGAAGCGTTCACAAGATTTATCGAACAAGAAAGAGAAATAAAAAATGTTCAGCTTGAATTTTGAATGGACAGTCGGAGAGATTTCTGTATTTTTTTTATCTGTTTTTAATAAAGCCAAGCACCTTTCTGCTGAAATTCATCAAAACGTGTAAAATATTGCGATAACGTGATGTACGATTTAAAGACACTGGAGTTAAAACAATTCTAATTCTAGGTTTATCTCAGGATCCAAAGGTTGGCACTATTGCTACTGACCTGAAATTAGCGAATGTGATATTTGGTCTAATTTCGAATTCAATCTTTTATCCCAAGGTGTTTTTTTTTACAAAAATATTATTATTAAGTCTTCAATAACTTTAAGAATTCTTTGAAATATTACAATAGCTGGGTTGCATCTGGGTCCAAAAAAGATTAATCCAAGAATTATATAAACTGTGTGAATCCTTATCTTCTTGCAGGAGAAGCCCATGGCACTATTTTTAACGTATATTACATTTATAGCTGAGGTTTGTTAATAACGTACACTTTATACTTTTAATAATTATCATAACAATTTTAATAATTGTAAGTATGTTTTATGTATCGTTTAACAAATAAAACTGTGCCTTGAAGATAAAATGTAAATGTAAAATGTAAATGTTAAGAAGTGTCTTTGTGCTTCGCCCAATTGCTTGTCAGCCTTATGACATAAATATCTATTATCTTTAATCAAAAAATCTCCTGGTCTGTAAAAATTATTAATGCGAATCCGGTTATTTTAATTTTTTTGTTGAAAATTTAAAAAGAGATATTATATATTTATGGTTTATGTTACTAGTCATAAAAACCCAATATGAACAAAAATATATATACAATATGGTGAAATATAAAAAATACGAGGAAATTCAAAATAAATAGTAATACATGAAAACAATAAATGGATTATTCTTATCTAAAAGGAACAAACCGACAAATTGGCAAAAATGAGTTAAAGGCACCAAGAGGATGGTTAAATTTACTTTGTATAAAAAAATTAAACTGCTGGCACTACTCAAGTGTCATATTTTTGCCAATGAACCAAACAAAATGTCATGAAACATGAATGCCTAATTTCAATAAAGGGAACCAGGCGAATGGAACCAGATACTGTAACTTGGATCTCTTTACATTTTTAAAGAATGTGCTGTTATTTTGACTAATTTATTTTCGTTGTCCCGGTATTTTAAAAGTGTTTAATCGGTACTTACCAATTATTGCAATGAGTGAGATAGCTAAAAGTATTTTAAAGCAAGCGCTGGGACTAGAGCAAAAAAAATTAAATAAAAAGCAAAAGATTGTGCATACACCGTTATGTTTTTATTTGTTAGTTTTTTATTTGTAATAAATATTTTTTTAATATAGATTAATTCTATATTAAGATATGGTATAGTTGTATATGGTATATGGGAAGAATTTCTATGCAAAATGACATGCAAGATGCGAGTACCAATCCTTTACTGGAAACACTGTGTTATGACGTGGAAAAAGTTTTGGGTTTACCTAAACTCCCAACCAATATCGTTTATTATAAGCGTCAATTAACTATTTACAATGAAGGTATCCATGCAGGCTCTACAAACAAGCCTTCTGCGTTCATTTGGAAGGAAGGTGACGCCGGCAGAGGGGCACAAGAAATTGAGTCCTGCCTTAAAAAAATTTATTGATCTTCGTCTAAAAGAAGGATTACAAAACTTAATTATTTGATCTAATAGCTGCGGCGATCAGATCCTAAATATAAAAATTGTACTTCTGCTAAAAAAGATTTTAAGTGAGCATCCTACTTTAAGAAGTACCTATTTTAAATATTTTTGAATATCTGGGCACAG